TGAGCTTCAGGTCGCCACTCTCCGGGTCCACGAGGAGGTTCTCTGGCTTGATGTCCCGGTGCAGGACGCCGCAGGCGGTGCAGTGCCGCACGGGCCTCCAGCACCTGGCAGAAAAGCCAGCGCGCTTGCTCCTCGCACAGGCACCCCTGCTCCTTCAGGAACTGCAGGAGATCCTGCGATGCCTGCGGACGCTCCAGGACCAGCACGAAGCTGTCGGGCAGCTCAAACCAGTCGAGGAGCTGGATGATGTTGTGGCAGCCAGAGCCCACCTTCTCCATGAGCGCCACCTCCATGGGCACGCGGGTGCCGTCGGGCTGTGAGGAGGAGAAAATCAGTGCCTCTGGCAGGCTGCTGCTGCTGCTGCTGCTGCTGCTGCTGCCCTGGGGCCGCGCTGCGCCCTGCCCGGGATGCCCCAGTGCCCCCTGGCGCAGCCTCCCTGGCGCTTGCGCTTCCTCCAGCCCGAGGGATGCTCGGGGGTGCCCCTGCCCGGCCCCAGCACCGCTGTTTGGCGTGCCCAGGCCCGCGGGGCCGCGGCTCCGCACGCTGAGCCCGCCCCGGGATTCTCCCTGCCCGCCACGCCCCGCTGTGTCCCGCTGGCCCCGCTCGCTCACCAGCTCGTCCCACTGCGGGACGCTCTCCCGGGCCACGCGTTTGAGGGCCACCTGCGAGCCATGGAGAGAGGAGGGCTGAGCTCCAGCCCTGCCCCTCCCCGCCGCTGCCCCTCCTCCCACGCCCGGCCGTCGCGGCCACTCACCGGGCTCCCGTCCGAGAGGCGGATGCCCGAGAAGACGGTGCCGAAGCCGCCGCTGCCCAGCTGCGGGCCCCAGAGGTACTGCTCCTGCCGCTGCCTCTTGTGCCCTGCGGCCAAGAGCGAGCCATCAGCCTTGCGCCCAGGAACCCCCCGCAAGTGCCCGCGAGTGGAGCGGGCCGGGCCCCCGCGGGCCGCCGCGCTCTCACCCGCTTCCTGCTGCGCGCCGGGCAGCGGCCACCGCCCTGCAGCCGCCGGGCTGGCGAGCGGCAGAGCCGGGCCGGGGCAGCGCGCACAGGCGGCTGCGGCAGCCCCGGGCCAGCGGGGCAGGGCGGCACCGTCGCTGTCCCCGGCGTCGTGGGCTGGACTCTGCTCCTGACGACGGCCGGGGCTGCAGCCCGAGGCTTGGCACAGGGGGATCCCAGGAGCAGCTGCAAAGCAGACAGGGCTTTTTCAAGCCGTGCCATCGGAGGCACTGGAAACAGCCAGCGACTAGGCTGCTGTCAGGGGCCCTGGCCTGGCCTGGCCGTGCCCCTCCAGAGCCCCGGCGGAGCCTCAGGCAGCTCCTCAGGAGATCTCACCTGCTACTAGAAAGCTCTTCGCGGCACTCAAGGGCTGTCTCGGGGCAGCTTCCTGCAGATGGAGGAACCTCCGTGGTGTCTGGAGGACCATCTCCACCGCCAGGCTCGGGCTGTGGCCAGCTGGCAGAACCGGCACAGCGTCCTGGCTGTCCTGGCCGCTGTGGGATGACCACTGCTGGCTCCAGGACGCTTGCTGCCCCGCCAGCTGCTCCTGAGCAGGCTCCCCTGCATCGGGCTGGGCTCCCATTTGGACTTGTGGGCTTTCCCCTGCCATGTCAAGGCTCAGGATTGCGCCCACGTTGTTGAAGTCTGTGAGTCCAATGGGGCTGGGAGACCTGTCCACGGGCTCTGCTCCTTCCGCAGGCTGACAGGTCTCACTGAGCCTCTGTGAGGGATGGCGGCTGTCAGAGATAGCAGAGGCTCTTGACGGGGTGCAGGGCCTCTGACAGCCTGAGTTTCCTGCATGGATGGTGGTGGCTCCCCCCTGCTGTGCCATCCTTGCAGGCCTTGAGGCTCTCCCAGGGCTGGAGAATCTTGCTGGGAGCAGCCTCTGGAAGGGATGGAGGCTTCTGGAGGAGCTGGCTAAGCCACAGCAGGGCAGGTGGCCTCGCTTCAGCAGCTCCTTCAGTTCTTTCCACAAGGCCTGCCACATCCCAGAGTAGAGCGGCGCACGTGTCCCGTTGCCATCCCAGATCTGCAGCATCAGTTCCTGCAGCTCCCGGGCCACTGCCAGGCAGGGGCCGCAGCTGCAGGGGCTGCCCAGGGGGCTGGCGGGAGCACGTGGCCGCTTGCCAGGAGTCGCCCGAGGCCTGGGGAACCTGGGAGTCGCAGGGGCTCCTCGCTTCCTCCGTGAGCCTCTGGGCCGGACCCAGCAGCGCTTCCTCAGCTTCGCTCTCCGTGTCTGCCGGCTCCGTTGTTGCCGGTGGCCAAAGGCCCACCAGACAGCCACGGCGGCCAGCAGCAGGACAAACGCAGCCATCAGGACGTCACCGTCACCCATGGCTCCGGCAGGTCCCATCGCGACTGCACTGGCAGCTGTGGGTGCTGGCCCGTCTCACACAGCGACAGCGCGCTGATGTCACAGCGATGTCACAGTGCTGCGGCCAGCACAGCCCTGGGACATCACAGCCCTGCCTGACGCCAGCACTCTGCCCCTTTGTGCCATCACAGCCCTGCCTCGGCCCCGCCCTCCGCAGTGCCCCAGGAGGGATAAAGGGGCTCCCTATGGGCACTTGCAAGACCCAGCTCTTTGCCGCTTCCCCGGGAAGAAAATGGATCCTATCCCATTGAAAGCCAGTACATTAGCCCATTCTTCACCCAGCACACCCTGTCTCTATTTGTCTCCCAGCTGGACACCTGCACCAGGTGTATTCTGCGAGGGACAGGATCAAAACTCCACTTAAAACCCTGAAATAGAATCTGCATTGCCTTCCCATCGTCCATGAGACCGGGTGACCTTCTGTTAGGGTGTGGGATTCCTTAAAATCAGAGGGTTTTGGGCACGTTGTAAAAGTCAGACCTCAGAGACAGCAGGATGGTGATTTAGAGCTAAGCAGTAGCTATAAGATTGGTCAGCAGAAAAATTATACAAGAAGTAGAAAGAAAGAACAAATAGAACTATGGTCTGTGTATTAACGTCTGGGTAGAATAACTTCCTACGTTGCAGAAAAGTATATCTGGTGAGATATTAGGAAGTTCTAAGATTAATAATGGAGCTATGTGCATTGTATCTTAAGGCTTACAGGCAAGTATTGTATTTGAAATAAGCAAGCATTGTTTTAACCAAAGGTATGTGTATTTATAGTGATTGGCTAGAACTACTGTCAATATGCTTTTGCTTTGTGTGATTGGTCATAAAGTTTATAAAGTAAGTTGTAACATGAAGTTCTTGGTCTGTTGCTTGGGAATGTGAGCTGCTGGCATCTTCCCATTGTCATAACCATGTAATGAGACTGATGCTAAAAAATAAACAGCTTAAGTCGCATACCACAGCAGTCCTGTCCAGTTTGTGACTTGTATAGAGCCCCCGGCCGGCGGTAATATAGCATTCAATATTTTTATACAGCATGACTTCTCATTACCTAATAAAATGATTTGTAGAAATGAATTGGAAAACAGGAAATAAACCAAGAAAAATATTCAAGCTATAAAAGATGTGAGTTTTCTCTCACAGGTCAAGATTTTCTTTGTATTTCAGATGAAAAATATTAGGAAGCTAAATGGTCACCCATTCTTTTAAAAAGTATCTGGATATCCAAGAGATATAAATTTCGGCAGGACTTGTATGTCAGGTATTCCTGAAAACCTTGATTTCACTGCTGCCCGACCTTGATTCAATCCACTTAAATGCAGCTGTATTCCAGGTGCTCAGTGAAATTCTCCATGGAATGCATATTGTTTAGAAATCGTCTGCAGAAAAAGCTAGATACATCTGAAGATCTTTTTTTGGGAATGGCATTTCAGTTCTTTGTACAAACACACAGATGGGATTTCTGCTGTCTTCTTCAGGCCACTTCCTCCAGAGACCTCTCCATTAAATCTCTCTAGTTCTACTCTTCTGGTGATCCAAAGTCAGCACTGGCATTGTCCAACTGCATGGAATTACTGCATGCTAGAGCCGCGCACTGAGGGCTTCTGTGTGCAGCATCATGTAAGCCGTCCTAATGTCACCCTGTTGCTATCAACTCAGCTAGCTCAGCTGGCTGACAGTTGGATCTTAAGGGACAAGAATGTGCCCTGATTTTGGAATACAAATGAGGTACTAAGAAGGAGGCTGGAGGATTTCAATATTTCTGCCTCCAGCTTAAGCAACACTAAATCTTGGTCTTTATCTGAGAAATTATGTGAATTAACCCATTTGGCATTCATATGCCAAAAATGCGAGTAAGAACTGTCAAAAATGGAATAAATCCAATCATCACTTTATTAAAAGAATTCACTTGAAGAAGTCAGGGAGAAGGACTAATCATGCAAATGTCCTTCCCTGAGAATCATTCTGTATATTTGCACAGCTCTCTTCTTATATTCCCATCTAATGCATTGGACATGTCTACTTGCGATGAGACAAATTCTTGCAAAGCTTACCAGATAAACCACGTGTTCTATTCAAGCAGCAAAAGATTTCTTTCTGCTTGGATTTGCTAATTATATTTATACTTAATGGTCTTTTCCAACCCAAGTGATTCCATCATTCTCAAAGTCGCACATGCTACTTGTCCTGCTTTAGGGCAAATCTGGGAGAAGACATCTGAAAGGGGACACCCCCAGAAAGCCAACCCACATGGCCTCTCCCCGCAACCGGTTTGGGAAAAATTTCCTGGGAGAGAAGTGGAAGAAACCTGTTGATTTAACAGGCAAAGCGCTCCCCAGCACAAAAAAATGAACACTAGCAGATGACCAAGCTCATTTGATGCTCTGAAGAGATGACAACAAGGTCAGAAAGTCTCTCCTGTGGCTGGTCGCTCTGTTATCAGTCCCTGCGGCACTTGGAAAGGCTGCTGCCCAGAGTAGGTCACCAAGTAAAAGCTCTCACTGCTCCCCGAGTCCCAATCCGGGGCAGGTTCAAACAGGTCCAAGAAAAGGGAAAGGAAAAGCAACTGTCCAGGGAAAACTTCTCTGCCTCAGCAGCTAAACTAACTAAAAAGCAAAGAAGTGCTCTCTTCTGCTCCGTCCGTGCCCAGACAGCACAGTCCAGCGCAGAATGTGGAGGAGTGTTGCTTGTAGAGGAGTGAGTGCAGTCTCTGATAACCAACTCCGTGCTTTGTCTTCTCCTTGCCTTCACTCTCAGAACCAGTCTTGAAGGCACAGAATATAATAGCCAGCATCAACAGAACAGACCGCTGGGGATACAAGCATCAGAAAGTCACCCTGGGACACTGCTCTATTGAGAGATGTCACCAGACTATGCTAAGACCAATTTCCGGAATTACTAAGTCTAATTCTGTAATCACAGTGGAAAGCTGAGGAGGAAACATCGTTCACTTCAGTTACCTTGTGGCATGCCAGTACTTCCTTTCAATCCCAATGTTTTTTGGTTTTAATCCCATGACATCACAGGCATAACTAAACATCTTTGGAGCAGGAAGGAAGATAGTATTCTTCTCATGATACTGATGGGTAAGCTGAAATGCAAAGCAGCTTATTCAAAGTGAAGAAGCAATAAAGTCAATTGTAAAACTCACCACAGTTTTGTTTACTCCCCTAAATCCTTACTATCCCAAAAGACAAGGACAGCTGGAAACACCTTGTGGCTACTTAATTTTTTCCTATACCTACATGGTAGAGGAAGGAAAAATGATCCGAAACAATGGTAATCCACAACAAAGCATTCTTGGCATCACGTTCAGGTCCTGCATAGCAAGCTCTTCACCTGGTAAAGTTATTCCATTGCAACAGTTTGGGGAGTATCTTAGAGGGCTGGGTTTAAACCATTAAACCATCCTGATGATTCAGGAATTCAGTACCAATGAGAAAGTTTCCAAGAAGATAGTACTGTGCATTAATTTGCATCTATGACAGACATATTTCTACAAGACAGAAGGCTGTACTACATATGGGTGAAGTGACATCCTGTTGCCACTTTTTTTCTGGTTTTCTGTTTCTTTTGAACTGCTTTCTTACCAGATTAATGAGCTGAACTACCTCAAAAAGGAATCAGGTAAGTGCCAGATCTTTCAAAAAAAGAAACAAAAAACCACAAACAACCCCCCCCCCCAAAAAAAAAAAATCAAATGCAAAATGGCGATCTATAAGTGCATTTGAAAATAAAAGATTTTTCTACTTTTCATAGATACATGGCGTTCTCTAGAATAATATTGCTCCAACGTTTTGTTTTGGCTTTTTAAAATTCTGAATTTTATGGATTCTTTTTGGCCATTTTAGTAATGAGATTTTTTGATCTGTTCTTTCAAGCTGAAATTGATTCTAGTAGATAGAAGCACACTGGTAGGTAAAAGTAGACTAGAAAAGAGAACATTCAGATATTCAGACTAGAAAAGACAACATTCACGTCTTCCCATGCAAGCAACTGAAGAAAGCAGGCAGGAGATTGTCAGATAACATGTTATGGGAATTGAAAAGAATCTGTCCTTATTTGAAGCAACTGAGAAACTCACACAAGGAAATACAGGTCAGACAGATGAAAGGGTCACAGATGATGTCAAATCGATACATTTAATGCTTGAATGAAACAAGATTTCTTGAAGTACAATCCTATAGAAGAAAGTTGAATTTGCAGAAGCAATTGAACTGGGTCTGTTTAAACTCAACTGAGGATTCAGGAAGGCAACCTTGACATTAAAATTATTTCAAAACATACAAATACCAAGATTGGCAGTTCATTATCTTGAACAGTCTCTTTACAGTAAGATTGATTTGGAACTTCTACTTGCTTTGGGTCTGAAGCCATTCGGAAGGCTGCAATATTAAAAACAAACAAACCAACAAACCAACAAACAAACCAAAACAACTTTCTCAAAAAGCTTTTAGAAACCAAAGAAATGATGATTTTTAGGGGTTCAGTAGCCCTTTAAAATTGTCTCTGGAAAAGAGAGAAAAAACCTGTAATGACTGTGGAGTATATTACAAAACTGTAATGAAGCCTGTAATAAAAAGACTATGCTGGGTTCATCTGTTGAAAGCATTCCAGAATGGTCGAAATGACAATTCACATGTTGTGGGAGAAAAAAAGAAAAAAAAAATCTGAGGAAAAAACCATTTTGAACATATTTTCCCATTCCAGGATGGTACAATGGCTTTATTTCATTTTGTTACTAAGACTATGTAATATCTGAAGCATTTTACAAGAGAGAATGAGAGTGTTCACACTAACCATACAATTTGGATGGGTCTCTTTTACTTTATAGAGCAGCAGACATGGTTTAGCACTCCACAGTTTCAGTCCCTGAAAGTAAATAAGCGGCAGATTTAACCTATATGCCCAGTCCGCCAGAATCCTTCAATATCTTTAAAAATGCTTTGCTATATCTCGTTATCTGGACATGTCTCCTTATCTCCACTGTGAGCTCCTTGATCTTTCATCAAC